CCCCAAAACCCCAAAACCCCAAAACCCCAAAACCCCAAATGTCATTTAAACAGCTGAAGATAGATAATATATTTAAAGTAAATATGAGTGATACAGCAAATAATATCGAACAGAGTAGTTCAAACTCTCTTGGAGAGTTTCACGGGTCTATTCTTGTGGATCCTAAAAAACTGAACACTTTCCAACCTAATTGCGTTGTGTACATCAAAGGAGAGAAGTACAGACTCTGAAAGGTGAACCAGCAGAGTAAGTCATCATTTATTCTACATTTTCCTCCATTCTTGAGCTAAATTATTCAATTTCTTTCATGATCCATTAATCAAGATCCTTTGGAAAGTTAAAACTACTTGGAGCATGATAATTTACTCCACCACTTTGAATCAATCCTGAGTTAAAAATATAAGAATAAGCACTATGGCTCCTATATCTAGAACATATCATTCTTGATTGAGATCCAGATTTCCTGTGCAATTATGATGATGTTCTTAAGAAATATTTGTGGGATCTTGGCAGAAACTTAAATTTATTTATAAATTTCAAGTTCTAATCTCCTTGCTAGGTTAAAAATATGATAGAGATCTAGCCTTTAGTTTATGAACTTATAGATGTTTCAACAGTGAGTGAATGCTCGGGTTTTTATCAACTTGTTGGACCCAGTTCTAGATCATAAGCATCTGGAGGATAAATAACTTTGTTGATAATAATAGTAGTAGTATCTTGAGGTGACTTTTCAAACTCATTTTTATGAAGGGAATTGATAACATGCTCATAAAATATTGAGCGAGTTCAGAACTTAGGTATCTCAGATCTCGTACTTAGTGATTTTTCTGACCTTTAAGAGTCTTGCTAACCTGATTCTTATGGGAAAACTCAAGACTAAGAGAACTCTGCTTTTTATGAAGAAATTAATATGGTAGTTCCAACATTATATCGTAAACCTGATTCTTTAATAATAGAAAGGACTTATCACTAAATTGGTCACTCTTGCCTCTTATGGGGACATGACTGCCTCTATGAAGGTCTATCTCCTCTACTAAGAGGATTTAATTCCTGAATTAGTACTTGGCCTTTAAAGAATAGTAAGTCTCAAATTTATAGGCATGAGTATACGAATAGGTTCATCATATCAAGACTCACTTTAAGTTCTATAATTATGAAAATCCAAATTCAACCGTTTAGTTTCTAAAACTTTCAAAAATCAAATTTGTTAGCTTTAGTAGTCTGTGAAGCATAAGTACTCAAGGATTTTGGAGGATCGTTCCTTTAATTATACAGGAATACGCTACTTAAAGTTGCAAGGAAAAGTCTAGTATTATCTTACTGACTCTCAAATTTATAAAACTTTACTAGCAATCATCCTAATGCTTTTTCATATAAACTTTGAGCTTGCTCCTATTCGTTTGAAAATAATTCAGATTTGTTCAGATATGAGAAGATAACCTGGTCCCCCAATCGTGTTTCCTAATTTATCCTGTTAGCAGTCATAATAATTAAGAAAATTTCATTTTATTCGAAGTTTTCATCAGTAATCTTCATAAGCTCAAGACATAATTTGGAAGGTTAGAAAATATATTTCCTTGACTCACCACTTTTTGTAAAATTTTAAGCATCCTGACCTCTAATTTAGGATCAAAAATTTTAATCTTCAAACAGAAAATCAAAGAGAGACTCAAAGGGTTGAAGAAGCAAGCCCAGACTGAGTTTCAGCATCTCCAGATCAAAGGTAAGCCATATTAGAGATTTCGTATATTATTAAGAAATTGGTCTTCACCAGTTTTGGAAAAATTCTAATATATAGGTTCCAATCAAAATATAATCTCAATGAAAGTACCTATTCTTGGAAGAGATTCGGACATAAAGAAGATAGCCAACCAGCCTGCGATGCTAATATCAACAAAATGCAATGAAGTAAGCAATAAAAGAAGCAAAAGGATCAGGAGCATTCTTAATGGAATGAGGAGTATATCTCCTAAGCGTATTCCTGCTCCACTGAAGCTATTGTCAGGACCCATCAATGCTTGTCAAGAGAGAGTCAGAATGAAATCTCCAGCAAGTAGGAGAACAAAGTATATACTTAATGAGCAAACTGAAACTTATGCTATCCCGCAAATTGCTCAGAAAGACGTATTCAGAATGTAAGAATTTTTCTTGTGATTGAAATGTCTAATGCATCTTAGTAAAGACAAGGAATCGAAAACACAAGGACATCTCCAAGATCCAAGAACACTTCAACGGACTTACAAGACAGAAGAGAATTCGACAGAGAGCCAATTATCACCCTTTAATACAACTAGGAAGCTTAGAGCTGTAAGCGGGTTGCCAAGCACTTTCAGCAAGAAATTCCAAAGCATCAAAGGTAAGCCTCATTGTCAGCCCTAGTAACTCTTTTAGGGGTTCAAAAAGCAAAGTTAAATATCTTCAACAGTGAAACCTTGTCTCCTAGGATAGGTAAAAGAAGCCAGAGGCCAAAGCAAGACCTGTCTTCGATCCTATCACACAAAGAAATCATAGTAATGAGGGCAAAGATCATGAACGATTTCACATCTTTGCTTTAATAATTGTTGTCTAACTTTGCAAGCTAAATCTTAATCATGGGGTTTTGGGGTTTTGGGGTTTTGGGG